CTGTTTTTGACCTTTACTCTAAACAAAAATACCTAGCAGCACATTACCTACCTTCTACAAGCTACCTTCTGCAAACTACCTTCCAACACAGTTTAACTCCATCCCCAGCAGCATCACAGCACATCAGAGAAAAATGGACTGAATGGAAAGGACTTGCATTTCACCTCCAGAAGACCAATATTTGTTCATAGAATACCAAAACTGACGTCTGAAAAATTTTGTATGTCTAATCAAAATGCCAAAAAAATTTTTTTTTTTTTTTTCTCCTGGGACTACTGGGAGTCAAGATAATTTCCACAATAAATGGGATTGCTGGCGCTGTTCCAAGAAATCAAAAAGTTGGAAAGGAACCAAATTCAAGTATGTGTCCTATCTCTACCACAGCAAGCTTTATTGCATTATATTTCACTCAAATGCAATTTCATAATAATAATAGATTATACTGGGCTTCAACTTGATGTTATAGGACTAAGTAGTGCAACATACTATCTAGTTTGAAACAGCATTCACAATAAAATAATTGAAATTAATTTATCTTCAGTCAGTAATGTAGATATTTAGGTGCATTTAATTTTTGAGAAATACAGCAAAACTTGAGTTCACTTAGGCTGCAGCTATACTCAGAAACAAGCTAGGTCTGTTACTTGACCCTTTGGCCAACTGACTTGTATGGTTAAACTTCCTTATCCTATAGAGAGCGCAGATGCTTCCAACAGGGTTAGTCCCTGAAGCATGCCTGGGCACTATCTAGAGGAGAGCCAGGTGGCCTATGTGGAAAGCAGGCTGGGGATCATCCTGGCTGTACTGGCAGTTTGACAGAGGTGGTGATCAGATGATGGTGGTTGGGTATATGCCCTGCTTCTGCTGTCTGCACAAACCAGCAGTGGCAGACCTTGCACTTCCTTTTTATTCCCACTCAGCGTAAAATATAGTCCTTTCCAAGAGTAACTTAAAAGAAATTATTTCAGAATTTTAACGCTTCTTTTAAATCAGTAACATTTACCTATTTGTATGTTGTTAAATAAAATAATTTATTCAGATACAAATATGAATTTTTATTGTTTATGAATTTTTAATGTTCAATTTGCTGAATCTTTGAGCAACACAAAACCACAAAATAGGGAATTACTTCTGTCAAGGTAGAAATAGAAGAACTCCTTGCAAAGATGCCTGATGAAACTCAGAGGAGAAACATGCACACATATTAGAAATCTGTTGAAGGTTAAGTAAAGGCTTTTCTAATTTTCATTTTATCCTATTCAGGATAGTGATAACAAACTAGGTTTATTCTTATAAAATCCACCTACATACGTTTTGCAGTCAATGCATGGTTTTTACACCACCAAAATTATCAATATTCAGGTTTTTTTACAGGATTACTGGTGCTCTGTCAAACCCCAGTGCTGAGCTCTTCTGTCACCCAAGCAGAGGACTAAGAGCATGAGCCCGGTTTCATTTCTGTGCATTAGCTCCCTCCTTCCTGATAAACAAGCTAAAAAGCCAGCTAATGCAGCTGACATCTTGAATTATGTAATTTCTCATAATACATACCAGAAAAGCTATTCAGCCCTGCTATACATGCAGGAATGCTGTTCCAAACATTGGCTCTGGCTCAGCAGCATGATCAGTGGCACAAAGGGTACTCAGCATGCAGTGGGGATTACTGAGCTGTGCCAGAGGAGGAAGGAAGACTCCATAACCATCATCCCTTGCTACAACCTTCATAGAAATCCACCAGATATGAAAGGTAACCACAGTGACAGGGAGACAGAGACATACTGGGAGGAGATGGCTTGTGGTGAAAACCCAGGTTTAGGATCAGCACTTTGTATTCCTGTCAGACAATAAATTTTCTGTCTGCTTTAAGACTGCTGAAATTCACAGATTTTTGCAAGAAAGACATACAAGAACCAGAATAGCTGTCACATTTCTGCCTGACATTCACTAGAAAAAAAAGTATGTTAGGATGGCAGATTCAAGGTGCTGACCCTCAGTTTAAGGGAAAACCGAGGATTTAAAAGATATCTGTCAGCAGCAGCCTGACTGCTCAGTTATTCCTAGTGCAGTGTTTGTGACATATTCTTAACAGACCCCCTAATAATATTTCACAGTATTACAAAAAGCTTCCTCCTTTTCTGACTCCAGTTCATGGTAATTATGCCATTGAATCCTTTGGGGCCGTGAACAGGCACAGCTGTCAATCCCAGAATACTGCATCAGCATCACACTCGTGTTTTAATCAATTATGTTTTGAGCAGTGTATTTTCAATACATGGAAAACTGACAGAAGACACAACATTTAGTATTGGCCTACTAATAACCACCTGCCTTCAGGATTTAACAGATCAGAAAGACTTTTTTCCTTGAAACATATTCTTTGTTTGAATACATATGTACGTCTGGATCTCTTTTATAAGTTGTAGGTGTCTAGGGCAGTCACTGAGACCTGCTGCTCACAGGAAAATTTGTGCTGCTATTTACATTCACTTGTGGGAGGCTGTCCTGTTTTCAGCCGGGATAAAGTTAAATTTTCTTGAGCTGGGAGGAGGCACAGCCAGCTTGCCAGACCTGGACTGGCTATTGGAGTATTCCATATCATGTGACATTGTGCTCAGTATATAAAGGAGGTGGGTTCTCTTTCGCTTCTGTGTTTGTGACGGTGGGATCTTCTTTCTTTCGGGGTTTCTGGACAATAGGGGGATGGGTATTGCTTGGTGGGTGGTGAGCATTGTGCTTTACCTATTTGTACTTCTTATTATTGTTATTGTTTTGTTTTATTACCATCACTAAACTGTTTTTTATCTCAACCTACGGGTCTCCTTTTGTCTGTTCCCTATTTCCTGGGGTGGAGTCGAGGAGGGTTAGTGACCAGCTGCCTGGTGTTTGGCTGCCAGCCAAGTTCAAACCATGACAGAAGCCCAACCACAGCTGAAAACAAACCAGAATAGTATATATTTTATTTGGTCTAAGTACTTGGAAGGTTAGAACTGTATCTGAAAAAATATTTTAGTCTGTGGTACTACAATGGATATGACATACCCTCCAAACCAGGATGGGTGCATCCAAACTGCCTTCTGTGAATGACCCCTGGCCTACACCAATGACCAGAACTTGGCCAGGCAGTGGCTGGAACAGTGCTAACAGACCCAGGCAACAAGTCAGCGAGGGACCACTCCACAACCTTGTCAGTGTACATGGTCAGGTTTCTGTACTCAGGTCTGTGTTCTGGAAATGGTTAATTTACCATCAGGAAGACATCTGGTCAATGTGTGGAAGTCTGAGAAAATCACCTGTCTCCTCTTTTCCTGTTGCCTCCAGAAGGGTCATTCTTAATAAGCCACAGACATTAGACTACTCTCCCTTAGCACATTTTATCCCACAAGGATAACTGCCCTTTTGCAACACCCACAGCTTTCAGATCCATTTATGAGAAAATCCAAGACTGAAGAATTCACAACACGTCTCCAACATGGCTCAGAAATTATGTGCTCCTCATTCTGAAAGGCTTTGGCTCCCACTGATATATACTCACCAAGCTGAAAATTAACCACCTTTTTTGTTTTCTGTGGACTTTTGAAATTTGAACTGAACCAGCATGCCTCAAACCCAAAATTCAGTGCAGATACAGTGACTGAGGATATCAAAAATTCAAATGTTACTTCCAACCACTGTCATTTCATTGTCTCATCTTTGGAAACCAGCCAGGTACAGGTTTGCCAGCAATACTTAACATTATAGGCCATGTTTTCATCATTGAAACTAATATTCTAGCAAGTCTTTCAGATTCACATTCAGAATTTGGCTCAGTTACCTAAACATAGGTCTCTGGCACTCTTCGAGATGCCATTAGGTATCCTGCTTGGATTTAGTTGCCAATCAAGAGCAGAGACCTGTCAGTCTTGTTTCATGGTATCTCAGAAGCCTTACAGCAGCTCATGGTACAGACTCCTTTGTGCATATGAATTGAGCCTACAGAGATGCATGAGTAAACTATACAAAACTACAGAGTTTAAAATGTTCTCTTCAATAATAATGAAAGTTGATGGTTTTCTTCCAGACTGCAATCTAAATAATTTAATTTAATTAAACCAAAACCATTATTGACTAAGGTTTTTGTTTTATTTTATGAAAAGGTGAGTCACTATGGTATACTATGCATAGTAGTACTACTTACAGAACAATAAACAACTTTTGATCAAAGGTTGCACTCTTAATTTCTTCATTTTATGCATTTCTTCCAGGCAAAAAGATCAATTTTCTATGCCGTGAGAAACACCCAGTCACATTAATTGAAGCTTCAGATTTGAAATAAGGCTACCACTCTGAAACTGTCTTCAGGAGTATACTTAGAGTTTAGTTGTAAAATGATACAAAGGATAAAATGGAGAGAAAAATAAAGATCTATTTGAAAACCTATATAACTTCATTTTATAGTTTTAAAATTTGCTTTAGTTATTTAATAGATCATATTGTAGGTAATATGAAACACACACACATATCCATCCCTACCTCCCAGTCAAACAAAACCCTCCACAATGTGTTTAAATACACAGCTGATACATAAAGCATTGTACTGATAAAGAAGTTGTAAGATGCTCAACATAGGATACAATTATATATTTGTTATTATATCTAGTATAGAATAGAGTGTATTTTCTATTTCAGTGAAAGCAATGAAACAACAAAGACTTATATTATAAAACAATCCTTCTAGAGAAAAAATATTCAGAATTTTAAAATTTTGATTAAAAACCAGCTATATTTCAGTAAACATAAATCTTTCTGAAGTAGCAGGTTTGTTATATGAATGGAGGAAGAGTTTTTCATCCAGTAATCACAAGAAACTGGCTAATTTTAAAACAAAGACTCAAAAGTTGGCTTTTTAATTACAGTATCATATTTCCTCATGGATACTAACTAGTATCAGTAAGATACAAAGAAAAGTTACCAAGTCATGGCAACCTTCAGAAAGGTGTTTAACATGGTATAGCGAAACTTACTTTTGATGATCTCCCAGTGGTCTCTGTCCAATGGATTTTAATAGCGACTCTGGTCGAACTGTTAATTTTGGTGATGTCTTGGGGCTAGTATCAGAGTCTCCACTTTCTTCATCTCCCATGGCCTTAATATAGCTCCCACTTCTCATTCTTCTGCAGGGGATCTCTTCATCTTTCCCACCAGCTGGGTATCCTCCCCATTCATCCTGAGGTACCTAATGGAGAACATAAACCACACACAAATGTGCATTATTCTTTTCATATACTTAAATACTTCCTTCAATTTTTCCTTTTACAAAGACAAGCAATGAATTTTTTATTCTTCAGAAACAGATCACTTAGAAAGAAATTTCTAAGGTTCCCAAATGATTTAGCAATTTAATTCCAACTTCAAGATAGAAATTTTCCATTTATAAATGTTGGAACATAAGGAACAATCAAGTCATGGTTTGTGAGCTGAGATGCAATATTTATTTGTAGACATGCTTTAAATTGCAGGAAGGAGCTTAGCTCAACCTCTTAAAAGTTTGCACACAGGTTTCCAGCTGACAAACAGTAAGTTGATCAGGTGTCTCAGACCTAAAACTCAACGAAAACTGAGCACTTCAGAGTGTTATACCAATTCTTCTTAAATGGGGCTTTGGCTGCTTTTCAGGAAGGTGGATGAAATATTTAAGTTAAACTAAGCTGTAATTTTGGTATAAATGGATAGGATTCTGATTTAAGGTAAACTTCTGTGGAAAAAAAAAGTGGCACTTAGACATTTTTCTTAGTTAGAAACTGAAAAATAATTCATAGAGAACTCTAAAATATCAGGAACATAGCCAGTTAATTATTAATAATTTTGTGGAAGGTGCTTTCATGCAGTTGATGTGATTTTTCAAATAATAAGATTGGTAGTCAGATAATCCACAGCTGGTGGATGGATAGCTCTCTGCACCACAAATTGGCAGAGAATTGAGTAAGAATATTACAATCCAAAGTGAAATCAGCCTTATTTTAAGATTTATGGTTAAACTCAGCAAGACTGTTTCTAACAGTATTCCTCATTCTTTGCTTTTTGTTTAATCTTCCAAGGTGCCGAGTCCTCTGGTCCTAATCCAGAAACACACTTAAGCATTTGCTTAACTTGCAGTATAAGCAACTCTCTGAAATTCATTATAATGACTCATGATTAAAAAGAAGGATGTGACAGAGTACACCAGTGGACCAGAACTGATGCACTTGGCAGCATCAAATCCTTGATCAACAAAATGACTTCATATATATTAAACAGTACAATGACTTTATTTACCAATATACTGTAAATCTGAAATTCCAGTTAAACATATACTGAGGACATTTTGCAAAGCAGGATGTCTAATAAAGACTTTCAAGTCATATGTGAGTCCTTCTGCAGACAGTTCACTGCAGAGCTGAAGAAAATGCTCCTATTGGTTTCAGCAGTCTTGGGGATCAGATTTAAATAAGAGCTGCCTGTCATCTTTACTGCCCTTTCAAGGTACATGAATTAGCCACACACCAAGTGAATGGACTTAATGCTTTGAGTCCCAAAAAGGGATTAAGGAGGAAATGCAGTTTTAAAAGATGGTGAACAAGTAAAGATAGAGATATTAAATCAAAGAAGCAAGATCAGGAGAGAGAAAAAAAAGAGAGGCTGAAGATTAAGTCAGATAAGAAGAGATGAAACAGATCACACAGATCCCCAGTGGGATGGTGAAGAGAAAATAAGGCTCGGGGGTTGAGACAAGGACAGGGAGGGCTCATGCACTAATTATGGTCAAGGAAAAAAGACATCTATTTACACTGAACACCACCACCACTACTGATTTACCAATCAAACAGAGTAGGCCCATATCTTTAAAACACCTTCCCCTTACCCTGCCCTTGTTCCTGGGCTCAGCTTTACTCCTGATTTCTCTACCTCCTTCCCCTGAGAGGTGCAGGGGGATGGGGGTTGTGATCAGTTCATCACCCGTTGTTTCTACTGCTCCTTCCTCCTTAGGGGGAGGACTCCTTACACTCCTCCCCTGCTCCAGCGTGGGGTCACTCTCATGGGAGACAGTCCTCCAGGAACTTCCCCAGCACGAGTCCTTCCCACAGGCTGCAGCTCTTCACAAACTGCTCCAGCGTGGGTCCCTCCCGAGCGCTGCAGTCCTTCAGGGACAGACTGCTCCAGTGCGGGCTTCTCTCAGTCCGGCCTGCTTCGGGCCCAGCCCCTGCTCTGGCGTGGGGCCCTCCGTGGGCCGCAGGGGCACAGCCTGCCCTCGCCACGGGCTGCAGGGGGGTCTCTGCTCCAGGGCACCGCCCCCCGCCTTCTTCACTGACCTTGGTGTCTGTGTAGGTATTGCTCTCACATCCCACTCCTCTCCATACTGCAGGTTTTCCCCTTCTTAAATACGCTATCACAGAGGCACAGCCACCATTGCTAACCGGCCCGGCCTTGGTGCAGAGGTGGGTCTGACTTGAAGCTGGGGAGCTTTGAAAAGCTTCTCACCAGATCCACCTCTGTGGCCCCCTGCCCTGCTACCAACCCTCACCACACACGCACAAATGCGACACACAAGGGCCCGCTGCAAACCACACTGTGCAGTTTTCTGTGCTAAAGCTGAGTTATTATGTTCTGTCTTAATAGTATTTTTTTTTAAAAAAAAACTCATAACTTTTTCATAGAATAATTATTTTGGTTTGAAATCTCTTCATTTTAGCCCAAAGATGATTAGATAGAAAGTTTAGAAAGACATTGATCAATAACACTTTACTTACTCAAATGCAATAAATTATCAGTTTCTCAACTCTCTTTTATCTGAAATTCTGTGTTCAAATAACTAGATAAGGACCAGATTTAAATGAGTAAACATAGGCTTATTTGTTGATTGAAGTTGAAATCTTACTTTAAAAGATAGGAAAGACTGATTTTTTTTACATTAAAGTATCAAAAAAATTAAGTTTCTTCACTGTGATAAGGAGCTTCACGAGGACAAATCTTACAGTTGTGTGCCTTACTATTTTTGTTGATTACATTTCTTTTTCTTTCTGAATTCATAAGTTAAATGAATTCACATAAAAGCTAAAAACTGAAGAAGCCTTGCTCTGTTTATGCTTGTGAGGTACAAAATGCACCAAGAATGCCTTTTAATCAGAGTTACTCATTGACTATCACAAAAGCATTTATGGTTGAAAAACATATTCACAATTAAAATATGTCTATTTTTTTTACCCTTCAGCCATTCAAAGGAGCAGAATACAATGAACACAGGCAAAATGCTTCTGGAGCATGGCAAGCAAATTTGACGATGTGTTCTCTTAGGTTACATGCAGAGTATAGGAAAACAGCCGGAGTTCTTTTGCTGTCTTCAAAGACCAATGAAAGGGCCCTTGTCATTGTTTTTCCCTCATGGACTGAGAATAAAAGCAAAATCTGAGTTCCAGTTAAGCTTGGTTCATAATTTAGTTTATCTGATAGGTTAAATACTTGGAAGAATCTTTCCAAATCCATGCCATCTCAGACCCCAACATAGCTTTAAAGAAAAGCAGAAGAATTATAATAATGACAGAAAGATTTTTATTTTGGAATATTAACAAAAATATTTAACAGCATGCATGAGGGTCATTAAATGCATATTTTCTAAAACATGAAAAGGGCTTTGCAGCTTGCAGAAATGCTTTCTTACAATGGTTACCAGCCCCTGAAATTCCCATCTGCAGGGCTTGCAGCTGCTAATTGGGAATAATTACCCTAATTAACTACTTGCATATAGTGATGAGTGCTGATATTTATAACGTCTAAAAAGGCCTTCCTCCTGTTCTAGATGTTAACATGAATCTTTGTATATGCAGTTTCTATCCACATAGGAATTAGACTGCATATTACCATATGAATTTCCTTTTGTAAGAACAACGAGCTGACAAGGTCTAGGTCTTTTAATTTAATTTTGTCACTGGCTGCTGATTTGGTTGTAACTATTACAGAGAATGATGAGTCTCTTTAATAAATTTTATGCACTATTGCTGTGAGGAACACAACCAAGTTCAGGAAATTTTGGATCTTTTAATTGTTTTGCTACTGATTCATTGTGATATCTTACATTAGTCACCTAGGGCTAATTTTATTAGAACACCTGGTACCTAAAACTTAATACATTTTATGAAGCTAATCTTGAGAGTGAACTCCAGAACCTTAGGTGGGACCCTAAATTTCCCATAAAAGGCTTTTAGGAGAGTTAGCTTCTGCAGAGTAGCATCGAAAAGGAATCAAAAGGTCCCTTTAGGTAGCGACCAAAATGCAAAACATGAAGAAAATCTTGAATGCTTCTACTTTCCTGGGTTTATTGTATCTGATTCCAGTCAGCAGAAAAGCCCTTCTGTCATTTCTGTTCACAGCTTAAAACCATCTTCTGAAGAACAAATTCAGATACTATTTTCAAAGAACTGAGCAGCCTTATTCTTTCCTTCCATGACTAAACGGCTGTGGAACTGGGAGATGTTACTGCCCATCAATCAATAATGATTGGAGTGCTCAGGAAGGAGAAGATTTAGGGCTAGTAAATAAGCTTGCATACTCCCCTCATCTTTTTGTAACACATGGTGTTTTCCTGAAACACTCACAGATTGTCTGGGGAGAGCTGGTTAGAAGAGAAGGACTTTATGTAAAAGACTGCGTGTGTTGCAGCCTTGTGATCCAGGCACTTACCTGGAATGAGGGAGCTTAGTTATACTCCCTGAGTCAAAGACTCACATTAATTTTATGTAACAGGGTGTTTGGGTAAAACTTCTGGAGCATCTTAACAAAGAAAGAAGTGCCTTTTCTCCAAATTGCCTTACAACCTGCTGCTCAGAATGCAATTTTGGGAATTTAGAAGATGGGTGTTTGACCTTGTGCAGGCTAAGGAAGAAACTGAACTCACATCTTCACAGTTTGTTACCATGAAAATGTATTTTCTTGTTTTAGAAGAAAAGCTGCCATCCTTGCATTTTGTTAGAAGTCCTTCCTGTTGGGTTTTTGGTTGTGCTCAGATTAGACCTGTCAGAAGAAAAGGATTTTGGACCCCTGACTGGACTTTGGCAGTAAGTCTGTACCTGAATTTTAAGATTGCACAGATTCTGCATGTAAACAACAGTGTGTTGTCAGGGAAAACAGGGATGAGTTCACCAAAATTCTGGAACAAACTAGAAATCATGGAATTGCTGAGTCTGGAAGGGACTCTGGAGGTGT